GAATTCAATGTAGATGTACTTTAATTTCGTACACCCTGTATTACCCAAAGTGATTACTGTTTGCTAAATTAATTTCATTTTCTTAAAAAGTCAGGAATCGTAACTTTATCTGCTATATTGAAGCTTGGTAATTGTAAACATCTGATAAATATAACCACTATGATATATTACACCAATGCATGAAACTGTTTTGTATGTAAGTAAACAATCGACCGAAGACTACCGGCGTGTATATTTAATAACAGATTATTTTGTTGCAGCTGAAAGAATTTCGTACTGAACAGAAAGAAATACTAACGTCAATGTCACAAAACGTTAAGAGTTTTTAAAAATCAATTATATTTATTGCCACGTTGACCCTTAAAACGTAGTAACTTAAATAACTATCTAAAATATAGTTATAAACAAAAAGCCGTTAAAGCATATATCGGAGTTTCTTTAATAAAGGCATTGTAAAAGTAACCATAGCACCAAGAATATCGAAGTGTAAATAAAACATGTGCAACTGTTGTTCGCAAGTCGTGAAAAGGAAAGAAACGATAAAACAGGCGTTATCGGGTGATAGCAAAATAAATTTCCCTAATGACCTGTACATAATACAATTTTCTCTCTACATTTAAGAAGCACAGAAGCTATCTGATAGTCAAACAAAAGTTTCCTTTAAATTGTGCAGGGTGAGATGCCCCCAAACTATTCAACCATGTTCAACAGTACATTTGTCAGTCATTATCAAGACAAGTAATCGTTATATCAGATAAAATCTTCACGCTCCACATTCATCAAACATCAATCACCAGCAAGAACAGAGTAATTGAAAGTGTGCACGCAAATGTTCAATCAACTTACGCATTGATTAAATCCTGCTGTCATTAAACCCTACTCGTCAAGATTCAAATAATTCCTAAATTAAACTTCGTAGATGTATTCTTTATTTATTTTTTGCTATAGATATCGTAATGTGTTCTAGATGCACATTTTGTTTTTCGTAGTTATTGTAATGAATTCTGAATGTTCTTTTTCCGTATAATAATTGCAATGTATTATTTACTTTTGTGTAATGATAAAGTATTTTAAAACTAGCAAAATGGATTTCAAAAATCTCTTGTGAAAAATAATATTATTGCCTATAAGAGAAAGATTGGATCTACTATGCCAACTTTTACAAGATCTGCCACTCGCCATTCGAAATTAATTAAAATTAAATAAATTTTATGTCTTAAGACACTTTCTAATTTAATTTTCGTAAATGACACTACTCCAAATAATTATTTAAACATTATTTAGTGCAAGAACAATTTAAATTAACGTAAAGAACTTCGTTATCATTTTTGAAGAATTCCGATTATTTCAAAATGATTTGAAGTTCGTCTGCAGGCCTTTACTTTTCTGGCTTCTAAAACTGGCATTTAAGAGGTAAAAAAAATACATTTTATTAATATTCAATTACATAGAATTTTCATAAACTCCAGCATGTTAATTCAATAATTTTATAAAGAATAAATAAAAGGTCTGTTTTCAAAATTTGTTTTTGTAATAAAAGGTATGAAATCTGTTGGAGCGACAGCTTTCGGGACAGAATGGAAAAAGTAATTAAATTTGTAAAATGACTAGCAGTAATTTTACAGCTTATCACTCAAGACATTAGTAAACAAATTAAGAAACAAAAGAGTAATAGTAATTTTGCAGCTTATCACTAAAGACCTTAGTTAAATTTCCGTATCTTCTTTCAACGCCTGGAGCCGACATGATTTTGAATTGCCCAATATATTTATATTTGATTGCATCTTGTCTTACCTTAAATACCTTTAAATCTTTACTTTAGATATCTTAAATTTTTATAATCGCTCTTTACCGGTATCGACAGTTGCTTATAATAACCGTTCTTCTGAATTTCGAGCTCCGGAATGAAGTATTGGCCCCTAATAACCAAATTTTACACATGGTTTCTAAAATGCAGAGATGAAAAGCATCTGCAGCAAGACAGCAGGATGAATTTTCTTTCTTTCATTTAACTTCCTTGAGATTTTTATTTTGAATGATATTCAAATATTTGATTTTCATCTTTTTAAAGTAATAATGCGCTTTAAAGACTTGCATGTTCTTCAATTGTGTTGATTATTTTTCTATCTTCAGTACATTTACTTATAATTTTTAATTAAGTTAAAATTTTTATTTTTAAAAAATGTTTCACTAAAATTATTTCATTTAGCGTAATCGTTATCTTTATTAAACAGAAGAGAAACACGGCAAAGTGAAAATTAAAATTAGTAAAGCAATAACCTTGTGTTTGGCTTAGATTTAGTCAATAACTCAATAGATTTCGAGGGCAAACAAATATAAGTCCCTGTTCATCAGGAGCAAAGAAATCTGCAAGACTGAAAAACTGTTCCAAGTTCCGCTGTTAGCCGCGATTATCGTACTCGTTAGCACATGTTCCGACTGTTCTATAGTTGTTTCCATAACGGGCCTAGAAGTGAAGTGATACACAAGCTGGGTCCGTGAAGGCATAAAAGCAGATGCAGAAAAGTATGTGACCAATTGCCACGTGGTCTTGCAGAAGCTTCTCATTAGCTGCGCAAAACTCAAACTACAATTTGAGTTCTACAAGTAAATCGCAAATATAATGAAAAGGTCATACAGGGAGGATAAACATATTGTAAGTTCAAAACAATAAAAGTAGTAAAATCATTGCAGTGCTTCGAAAGTAAATATGGTCGTCGTGAATGTCAGAAAGTTAGAGCAACGTGATGGGAGAAAACATTGATGCTTAAAACTGGAGCAGTCCATATAATTGGCATAGTATGTACACGTTAAGGAATGAGAAATTTCAATTTCAATATCTGTAAATTGGAATTGTCGAAGCTTAGTTTCAGGGAAATTTAGTGCTCCTTCGACTGGAACATTAGTAAACAATGATTGAACATCGAAAGAAACCATAATGGAATGTAGAAAAGAAAAATATTTAAGTTTATCGATGATTTCAGAAGAATGTTTTGCAGTGTGAATATTGTTAGAAAGTAAAGAAGAAAATCTGGAAACTAAATATTTGGCCAAAGGGATATGATGCCTTTCCTAAGTTGGAAATTATACATCGAAATGGAATTTTAGTTTTTTGGACTTTTTTTGGACAACCTAGCAGAGTTAGCAATAGGAGGTATAAGTTCGTTTTTTTAAATAAGTTGAAAGTATATGGGAATGAATTTTATCTTTTGTGAAATTCATTCTAGAACTAACATTATAATTCCTAAAGCTGATAAGGGCGGACAGATCATTGTTATGGACAAATACATTGATGGAGTCTCGAAACTGATAAATGAAGGCCCATGCTGCTCGATTCCTAAAGATCCTTCAGTTTCTGAACGACAGTAAAAACAGTTTTCATTCTTCTCATTCTCTTGAAACTTTTCACATTCATAGAGATTTATCTTGTTTAGTTAATGACTAAACAAGATAAAATTATATTAACTTAATTTTTTAATTTCGTTACTATTTTGCAGACAGACGGCGCTGCTTCCTCGTTCGCTTTACTGCCGTAGGTTATAAATAGTAACGTTGAGCCCGCTGCTTTACAATTTTGGAGATTTCTTTCCTTCGGATGAAGAGGGACCTGTACCTGTTCACCCTCAAAATCGATTCAGTTCTTGACTAAACCTACGCCAAACACAAGCCTGTTGCTTTATGTACATAAAAAACAAAGAGCTACTTGAGCTACGATAATTTAATTGTTAATCTTAGCTCCGTTATCGCTAGGTTTTAGCTTTGAAGGTTCCATTTTTACCTGTTTCACTTTAATTATATATGTATGTATATAGAGAAGACAGATAATGAATATTATTTTTCTTGTTATAGGTTTCTGTGTTTTTCTATCAAATTACTCTATCTGTAGCATTCAAAGGAAGCTCAATGAACGTCTTCAGTTTATAATTTTCATTACATTGCTTGAGAAAATTTGAAATAAACCGAGAGTCTTGTTACAAAGATATATTTATCTTCAGATTCGATATTTGTAAATAAATATTGTGTGTTTTAATATACAGCTTGGTGCAAAACTCCTACAGCAATTATAGCTGCTTGCTTTTTAAGAATAATTTATCTTATGGTAACATTTAAAGCAATGCTGATGGTTTAATTCTGTAGGACACTTTGAATTTCCATTAAAATTCGCTTCAGCAACCTGCATGATTTGTTATATTTCGACAGAACAAGCCAACATACATAACCAATATGTGACTTTTGATATCACCTTTAATCATGAATGCAGTTTCCACCTCTCAGCTAAAAACTCTAAGCTAACATTCAGATGTTTTCAAATATTTTGAATAGTAGATAGTGCTAACATTCAAAATGCAAAACTGAAGTAATTAGAGATATCTCACACTGTACATGAAATATGGAAAGAAAAAAAAAAAGAATGGAGCGTGGACTACGATAGTCTAACAGCATATTATTATTGGCCTTTCATTATTTGAGAACTAATGATTAAAGAACGTCATTATACAGTACCCCGTGATTTGATTAGACTCTATGGAGATCATAAACTTGCCAATACCTGGTTCCAACAAGACAGAGCTTCTGGGAACTTGGCTAATAATTCTAAATTAATGGATATGGTTTCTGCCGCCCTTTGCTCTGCGAATCATTTCACTAGACTTCCTTCTCTGACAGGAAGAGAAAAATTTTAAGATTGTCGTTGCCTAAATATGCTAAATGAATAAAAATTTGTATTAATTGAGTGCAAAAAAAATATCCTACAAACCGATCCGGAGGAACTTCAGTCAATGAAAAGTTTATCCACGCCGATTCAGCAATTCGGTTTTGCACACAATTTTAAATTCAAAAATTACCCATTAATTTTAAATTTCTGTGACTGATATGTTTTTAAATAATGTGAAATTCGAATTTAGCATTGAATTGGTTTTATGTTAACTCTTTAAATATATTTGTATGTATAGCTTTTTTTACTTTTTACTAATTCCTTTTCATTTCTTTCGGAATTTTAGGTGAACATCCAGCAGCAATGCAACACGGCAAGCATACGTCTTCTGGATCAGGTCTTCCAAAGTCTTGGAAAATCTTATTTCATTTAGTCTTGGACATTGCTCTTCTTGTGTTTAACAAACGGTGATAAGTTAAGCCTGAAATGGCTTATTTTTTCATGCAATAGCGTTACTGAGAAGACTTTAAACAATAACAACTAATAATAATAAAACTGTTTATATGTACACCTTCATTGCAAACGCATCCGAGGAAGAAAAGCCCCTGATGTTACTGCGCCATCTATGGACGAATTAAAGAATCTTTTGGGGCAAGAAAGTTGTGCACTTTTGTATAGCGAACGAATCGATCCACTACGAATAAAGCTGAACCTACTGCGCCATCTATGGGTTCAAAGTGGAACTAGCCCTAATGTAATTTACTTTGTAGTTAAACAATTATATTCTTCTCTTATTTACAATCATGGAGAAGGAAGAAAATGGAAGCGAATATGCAATTTTAATGTTCGTTAACCCAATACTGAAAGAATAAACTACATTTTGCTCGTGAAAATGGAAGTGTTCGCTACAATAAAGAAACTTTTCTTGCTGACATAGTAGTTTATTTTGTAAGTGAGCTTAATAGCTGGTTTAAAACTCCGATTAAACATTTGGATAAGGGTTTCGGTTTTGCTTCAAGAGAAATAAAGGTTTTTCAACTACGAAAAGATTAACAAGGGACGGTGGTAAAGTTTTCAGTTTTATTTGACGGTGAATCATGATATTGTGTTTACATGTGTCGAATTAATAAACGTCGTATTCAAAACGTACATAACCCCGGTAGACATCTTTAACTATAATAAATATTACCTCCTGAAAATTTTCACACTATGCAGTCAGTTTGCTGCTTAACTTGGAACACAATGTATGGTTTCTTATTGCATTTGTTTCGTCAGTTAATCCCATGTTATATTTTTGTGATGTTTTAGCGAAATTATATACGAGAGGTATACATATATATATATATTACATGAATCTTTACGAAATCCTGCAGAAGACTGATTGTAAAGAGAAAAAAATCTTGTATATTTAATAACACTGTGAGATGTACATGGATTCCGGAAGAAATTTTTTGCACAATCTTCTCTTGTACTTGAGTTATGAATTCGGGTGCTCATGCATTGTAATAATTTAAATACCATTAGAGGGTCCACGGAAATATTTTAATGCAAATTGGTGTCATTTACGAATTACTGTTCATCTCCCAAATGAATGTTACGTTTTTGAGTTCCTAATGTAATGTGTTATTTTTGTTGTACATCTTTTGATTGCTGACTTCTGTGTAAATATTTCCCAAGAAATGAGTGAAATTAAAATGATTTTTTTCGCAGATGTGTGTGCGTGGATTTTTTTCCCTCCTCCTTTTCACGTATTTTACTTTTTTACTTTAGCTGAATTTTCTTTTACCCTTTGTATTTTTTCAGCAGATGAATGACATAAGATTTTTCTAATTAAAATAAATATACGTTTATGGCATGTAGAAGAAAAACAGGAAATTAAAATGACAGTTTTAAAGCAATTCCTCACTTAATATGGTTAGTTAATAATTATAAAGGGTAGTTTTAATTAAATATAAAAATAGCCATTAAATGTTGCAATTCATTCAAGTATTTTCAAACTTTATGTTTTAGCCCTTTTAATTTTAGTACTTACCTTTATAAGTTATTTCTCCCGCCTTCTTAGCGTGCCTTGGTGGTGCAGTGGTCTGCACTCCGAGCACGTATTTCAGAGGTCCGTGGTTCGATTCTCGGCGAAAGCGTTGCTCATTTTTCACCTTTCATGCTTCCAAAAAAATCTTAATGACTCTGCAGTGGCGCCCGAACTAAAAGTGTGGTGGATGATGATTCTCCACAGCCAGGATTTGGCAATTGGTCCCCTAAACCTCAGTCGCCCTGTAAAGAGGGAGTATATAAAGTATTTCTCCCGCCTTCTTAGCGTGCCTTCGTGGTGTAGTGGTCTGCACGCTGGACGCCTATTCTAGAAGTCCGTGGTTTGATTCCCGGCGAAGGCGTTGCTTACTTTTCATCTTTCATGTTTCAAAAAAAAATCCTAATGACTGTACACCTTTAGCTGTTTAAATAAAATTAAAAAGAAGCAAATTAGCATTTTAAGAATTAAATGCTTTTTAATATTTAGCCTTCCTTTTTAAAAAAATCTCGAATCTCTTTAGTTGGTATGATTAAAAATTATGACGTTACTGCTATTAAGGTCCAAATCTAATTTTTGTTAACATTTTTAAACTAAATTATTCATGGGAAAAAGTAATCATTCACTATTTTGAGAAAACTCAGTGAATGTTGAAGATTTATATATATATAATATGTCTCAGATAACAATACAAATTCATGAAATGCAAAGCAAAAATTCTAAAATTCTAAATTATTCTCAAAAGCAGAACAAATTCTCAAATTCACCACCAGGATTTGTACTAAAATGTGCATTTTTATCTAAAGTCTTCCTTTTTACATTTAAAAAAAAAAAAAAAAGGCAAGTGATCTATGGAATTATGTTGAAAACTAACTGCAGTTTTTCCGCATCGGTTCAAAACGAAGTACATCTATCTCAGACAGAGGAGGGGGGGAAAAGGAGAATCTTTAAGCGATCCTTGTCTTCTTTTTTTCACTAAGATATAAATCTCTCAAAATAAAAAAATAACAACATATTTCTTAACATGATCTTCACTCCACGATCTGAGTGATTGTGCATCTGGCTGTAAAGTGTTTCTGCATGATCCGAAATATTTATTTGAATCAAATCTGTCTTTCTCTCTCTCTTCGGAGATAAAGCAATTCAATTTCGGAGAGAGACAAATGAGCTAAACCAGAAATGCTCTGGTACGTTGTCGTTCGCATTATACATCTTCTGAATTGAACGCCTTTTCCTGAGAAGAGAAATACATCAGTTTTAATTTTCCTTTCCTTTCAAAAAAAAAGAAAGATGCCTTAGATTACTTAAGAAAACTTTATTTCTGTTTTATCTTTGCCATCTCCTCTGAAGATATTCATTTCAGACCAGCATTTTTTTTTTTTTTTTTTTCCTCACAGCATAATTCTCCATTTCATATATCACTCCATAAGCTTTATTTGCTGCACAATTTTGTTTAATTGTCGTTATCTTTAGTGGGAAATAAATGTTTCTTTTTTCTGCAGTGAAAAAAATCATTTCGGGCTAGATTTGAAATTACTGCATTACGAGAAAGCGTAGTGCGGCTATCTGTCTAAGTGAAGGGATACATACGTGGACGATATTTTAAGGGAAACTTGGTTGTATTCACGCTATATATGAGGAAAACCACCAAACAAAATTGCAACCAGCTGGTATTTGATGTTTTGGTTTAGTTGATTATGGCAAAGTGCACTATAATTACCTGCCTAAAGGGAGAGATACCTCTATGGAGGACTTTCTTAAGGTAAACTGGCTGTTATACACGTTGCACATGCCGAAAACCACAAAAACACTCATGCAGCTAGCCCATTCGCCTGGAAACGAACCCAGGTTAGAACTACCAGCGTTCAGCGATGTTACGCTCGGCCGCTGGTGGGCCTCTTCTAGAATTTGAAATCGGGTCGAACTACCAGTACTCAATAATTTTATCACCTGTATCCTCTCGGCCGCTGCCAAAATAACTTCGCTTCTTTTTTTATTATGGCAAAGCACTCGAGGGCTATCTGCATAAGAAAATGGATGCCTTTATGGAGGACTTTCTAATAGAAAATGATTCGTATTTACACACAGAGAAAACCAAGAAAACGCCCGTGCAAGCAACCCATTTGCCGAGATTCGAGCCCCGGACCTAACTATTAGTGTTCAGCAACTTTACCGCTCGATCGCTGGTGGAGCGAGCTTAAGCAGCATTTTTGTAAATCATTATGAAACATAAATATAAAATTAATGAATAAGATAACAATGCGTTCTTAACTGTAATCATCGCTTTAACTTTAGAAAGCCACATTTGCTTCGCGAATACTTACAGTTGATTCAATGCTTATTTAGGCACAAGCTAATTTGTATTTCACATTTTAATTTGAGTTAAACATTTCTTCTACACTTCCCGCAAATAGCGAAGATTATATTTCTCTCATATTCCTAAGTTTTGTGTAGCCGTCAAGTTGACGTGTAAATAAATAAATTTTATTTTAAATCTTCACTTTGAGTTCGTGATTACTGTAATCAGTGGCTAAAACTGGAAGATAAATATTATGATTTTTCTCGACGGCCCTAGTAATTTAGCATTTTCAAGTAGTGTAGAACTGTACACATTTAGTACTTTTAATTTAGTACTGTTATTCATCACTTTAGCGGAAACGTCTGTGTTTATTGTTTTCAGTAAGTAGATTCTTAGCAAAATTAAAAATGGTACGATTTAAAGGAACTATTTGTTGCAAACCTCTCTTGCAAGCGATCTGATGAAATTAATGCACAGCTACTCATCTTGAGAAGTCTGTTCCCCATTAAATGAGTGCGTAATGGAAATAATTTATGATGAAATAATAACATGGTAAATTTTTATCTCTGCCATTTGGCACTGATATCTTGAACAACTGTTTTTAACTAAAAGGTTTATGTCTTAAATCTTGAATTTCTAGGACATTAATTTTTGAACTAGCACACCTATCGTAACTGCTCAGTTTCAATTTGTTTCAAAAGTTAAACTGAAATCTGCTGTGCAAAATTGTGTTTCAGTTTCTTTTCATATTATATTTTTTTAAACTTAAAAAACGCTTTTTTTAGTTCTTTCAATCTTTAATTGTAAATATCTTTTCGAAATGGTAGTCTGTAATCCGAAGTTTTCGAGATTTCAATTCAATTTTTTATTTAATGTTTCGTTTTTAAATAAATAAAATAAAGCAATCTATTAAATAGAAGTATTTGTGTATTTAGTCAAACGATAAAAAATTATTTATTTTTTGGTCAAAAGGAGTATTTTATTTTTACAAAAATAGAAAATACTGTATTTTATTTTGAGCCATTATGGTAGTTAAAACTATAATTAAATTTCATATGCAGTTCACGTAAATAAATAGTAATTACAAACAACAAATAAAATTGTCGAAAGTAGCGGTGACTGCTTTCTAACCTTATAAAATTAAAGCCATTTGGCTTAAAAATGGACGTTAGCCTAGAAGGGCTATTAATTTCGTTTTGGCATTTTGCGTTACTTCACTATAAAAACCTGAATCACTTTTCAAATTGTTGCCACCAAATATTAGAGCCTTGCATTATATTTAAAGAAATTAAGTAATGAAGAATATGCATGTATGCAATGTTTCTTTGCACTGTGAAAAAACAACGGTACCTAGAGACATCAAATTTTGAATAGCGTAGTCCTCCTCCAATCGAATAAGGGCATCTGGAAGCCTAAATTTGGAATTTGGAATTTTACTGTCTATTTCCTATTTTGTAAAACTTTAAAAAATTTTTGATTAAGAAACTCAACGATTTCAAAACGTCCCATTAGCATTAACATTGAGTGCATCTCCAAGCACGGATATTTTATGCATAAGGTTTCTTTACATTTCTTCCTGGTATTATGCTGGTAGCGTAGCAACGCAAAAATATTACATTGTCTAACGGTATTTTGCATCAAATGACTTTGAATGTCTGTATCACTTTTCAAATCCCGTTTTTAATCCCCTGTGAATAAAAACGCTCCTTTGGGCGTAATATAAAATCTAAAAGCTCTCAGACTTCTTTTATTCATAAATTAAAACTAAATACTTAACAAATAAACAAAAGGTCAACAGCATTCTTCTCCTAAAACTATGAAATTCCCTTCAGAGGGCAATTTCCCCTTGGTTCACTCCCCCCCCCGTGTAACGATCGGTCGTAATAAGATAAAAAGGCATTGCTTCGCGTAACACTTTATGAAACGTTTTTAGACATCAAAATGAAGAGAATAAACATAATTGCTTTTAAAATGAGGCCAATTTATGCGGTTTCATTTGTGTACAGCTAAATGAAACCAATTTCTAGTTATACGAATTCTAATTTTACTTCTCTTCCTTCATATTATAATGACGCATATATGTAACTTGAACCATTTTTGCGATTAATAAGTTTAATTATTTCATCAACTTTCACAATCAGATATTCGTTACTTCCTTTTCCTAACAAACTTCCCATTTCGCTTTCTTCGGGTATAAGTTGCGCCATCTGGTGGGCGTCCTGTTAGCCAAAGATTGTATTTCTAATGTGTCGTTAATGGGCTGGTGAAGGTTATTTTTGGCGACAGATGGCAATTTTCCTTCCTAGAAAGTCATTGTTGTCCGTAAGAGTTCAGCGTTCAGCAGATGTCACTTTTTTTGCGGCTTTCAGACGATATTTATTCTC